AAGGCTGGAAATGCACAGAAGGTCAATTAGCATTCGAAAGAGATTTTAAATGTTATGATGAAGGTCTGTAATCCACAAGCATTTTCTGTTTTTATTGTAGATTTCCAGTGTTTTCTCTTGTAACAATTGGCCTTGAATATTGTTTTGTTGAAAGGCCAAGGATTATGATTTGTCCTTTTTTTTGTTTCAAACAGAGATGTGCCCAGCTGTCTATGGAAGTTACCAGCCCAAGAGAATCGGAGGGAAGGTCAATCACTCTTCATTGATTCTTCCTACCACAAAGCTAATCTATTGGCAGGTTTCATGTGTCAATTCTATTTTTTATTAAATAAAACTAGAAATCAGATTACATGTCTAAAACGATTTTAGAAATCTGAACCAAAAACAGCAGTTTGCAAACTTTATTTGTAGAATCAGATGCTTTATTCCTTTTTATTAAATTAAAAATAACTTAAATTTATGAATAAAGACAATGCCAAAAGGCTTGGTGTGAAAGCAAACTTTGGGTGAAAATTGTGACCTGTGTTGTATTAATTAACATTGGTGTAAACACATGGTTGAATATTACGCCTGGTTGGTACTTAAAGATCTCAACCGATCACAGGTGTAATTCCCCTATCCCACAGCTGCACATTGGTTGGGCTGAAAGTTGTGCACATTGGATCAATCAGACAAGGGGATTAGCGGGATACTGGCTTCACTCAACAAGAATACCAAGAGTCCTGCTAACCCACAGTTGGGAGTCCAATGCATGAATGACTTAGGGCTCAACCATTGGGAAAGAGTCAGGGGGAGGGATTTAACAACGGCAGAGCTTGACTTCAAGACTTTAAATTCAAGATCCTCATCCTCACCTACAAGGCCATTCACGGCCTTGCTCCCTCCTACCTCTCCGACCTACTATCCCCCTAACTACCTGCCCGTACCCTCCGGCTTCTGGCTCCAGTCTGCTCCACGTCCCCCACCCCAACCGCCCTACCATCGGTGGCCGGGCCTTCAGCCTCTCAGCCCCGAGGCTCTGGAACTCCATCCCCCAGTGCCTTCGCCGCCTTCTCCCTTTCCTCCTTCAAGGCCGGTCTCAAGACCTTTCTCTTTGACCGTGCCTTCAGCTCCCCTCTCGACTCTCTACCCCCTCCTCGCTCCCTCCCTTCCCTCCCCTCACCCTGACCATTTCCCCCCTGCTCGGGTCCTGACCCAACTGTCCAGTGCCTTGGGACGTCCTCCCGACGTGAAAGGCGCTCTACAAATAGAATCTTGTTGTTGTTGTTGACGCCGAGCCGGGGAAAGAAGGGAGGTGACCGTAGACACGGTCAAAGAGGAAGGTCTTCAGATGCTATCTGAAGATAGGCAAAGAAGAGGCAAAGTGGGGGGATTGATTAGCACATTACAATTGCATTTATCAGGTCAATACTGATTCTTTCTCTAACAGAGTAAATTATTTTCTACAGCATCTTTCTTCCTGTCACATGCTTTTGTATAACTTTCAAAGGCAGCATTACAGAGTCTCTGCTGAATACACTATTAACTGTGGCTGATGTGACAGGGGTAAATACTGTAATTCAAAGTGAGTAAGAAAATAGGATAGTCACAAAAGAAATGTTTATTTAATTTCTGCTGTATGGATTTTATTACGTAATGGTAAAATTAAGTGGAATAATTAGATGTTATTCAAAAGGCAGTACAGCAATGATTTAATCCGGGACCTTGGAAAGAAAGGGAAGGATGGGACAGTAGTTAGAGAAGAGAGATGGTTCAAGGGAAGATTTCTTGAGGATGGGGGTGATGAAGGCAGATTTTAAGTGGGTGGGAACGGTGCCGATGGACAGGGAAAGGTTGATGATGTCTGTTAGTAGAGGGGCAAGGCCAGGATTGTTTGCAATACCAAGCTATGTGGTTTTAGCTGGTTAGACACCAATAGTAATTCAATCCACATGCTGGTGTCCCCAGCTCTTACCAACCTGCACATAAACTTTCTGGGATTCGGTTAGCTGGGCGTGTCTCTTTGTGAATACTGGGTGCATTCCACACTGAACAAAAGCTCATTTCTAGACATATGTGAAACTCGCAGCAGTTTGATTTGGACACTCTTAAACAATGGTAATTAGTTTTCCAAAGTGTCAGACACAGAGCTAACCAAACAAAAAAACAATATACTGACTGGCTTTCCTTCCTTTTTTGTTAATTTTTCTGGCATCTTGTTAAAAAGGTCAAATTCACTTTGGAAACAATGAATCTTATATATATATTCTGTACAGCACTGTTGATAAGTTTCTGAATATGTCCTTCTGTGCTTATAAATAATAAAGGGTATAATTAAATTTTTAAACTGTCATGAAAAATGAAGCACTTTTTTTCTATTGAGAATCAAGGACTGTACAGCAATTCACTACGAAGGTGGAAAAAATGTAACCCAGAAAATTGGGTTACGTTGAGAAGTGCTAACTTTGATTTTAAAATAAATGTTAGTTGTATTTATGAGGCAGAGGGAATAAACAGGATAAAGGAGACCGTCGGAAAAAAGCCTAAATATCACATCAGGACACTGAAAAATCCTTATAGGAATTAGTGTAATGTGAGTCCAAGTGATTGAGGCAGATTTATCACCTACAAATACCAGCATCAAGCAATGCAAGGTCAACTATAACATGGGCCAGATGTATAGTTCTACTTTACATTACATAATAATAATAATTGTAATAATAATAAACCTTGCATTTGATATATCTTCATCTCAAAGTGCTTCATTAGATTGTTTCTGTTAAATATATTGATTATATTGAACGCAGTGGCCAACTTTAGAAGAGGACTCACTATAGAGGTGTAAATTTTGTTCAAAATGCATTCTAATGGCTTGTCAAAGTGAAACTGTTGATTTAATGCGAATTGGCGGAATGTTTCCCGCTGTAGGTACATGTTATGAATTGGATGGTTACTTGTCACACATATTTAACATCGGCCGGAGAAAGAAGGCTTGAGCCAGAGTAGTCTAAACTAGTTCTGTGTTTGTTGAGATAGTTTGCTAAGATGGAAAAATGCTTTGCATGTTTGTATGAATCACACAACAAAATGCTTGTTGCCTCCTCTGCGCTCAGTGCAAAAATAAAAGTGCCCTGTCAAGACAAAGTGTGTCTAGACCGCATTATTGCTTAACCGTTTCAAAAGTTTTTTGCTGCTGAATTGGATGTGGATTATTGTTGTCACTGGAAACAAGCTAGATTCATCATTAGTGTATTTCAAGTTTGAAAAAAATTGTCTAATGGGTATAATAATGATATAATTAATCATCAAGATGTCTGAAAGCACTTCACAGGATTTACTGTAAAGTGTAGTGACTGTATTTTTTAAGCAAACGCGTCAGCCAATTTGCGCACAGCAATGTCCCACAACCAACAATGAAGTGTGTGGCCAATTTTATTCACCTTGAATTTCTAGTAGTGCAGGGTTACCATATTAGAATTGCATTGTGTAGGGTACAATTTGGGCACTGTCAATGACCTTGGTAGGGACAGAGCTATGGCACATGAAAGAACAAACAGCTTATGTCTCATAATTGAGTAAAGTACATAGATTTACTTTATTCAATACAAATAATTGGGACAATTGTGGCCTTGGGTCAGCCTCGAGGAAGCAACAGTGGCCTGAAGCTGCAAGGCAAACAGACGGCAGAATTAAATAGTGATGGGACTTGTTTTACAACCTATAGGCCTGGCTTGATTCTGTCATTAATGTGGAACTATTATTTTTTATTTCCCCACTCATGAGACCCCATATGTGTTATAATTTCACAGAAACACCCGGAGGATACATTTAAAAAGCACATTCTCAAGGAAGTGACGGTTTACATGGGATTGTGTGAAAGTATTCTAGAGGATGGACGGTCAGTTTTTTAGCTACTGCACATGTACTTTTGAGATTTGGTCTGGCTGCGACTGAAACACATATAGTAATAATAATAATCCTTACATTATTATTATATGTGTGAACAGATGATCATAAGCTACTTCACATGTTAGACAAAATCAATGCTCACAAGGGAACCTGTGGACCTGGTGCCAGGGCTGTGGATTGAGACATGGAAAAATGTTCCTGTGCGGGATGTTGTCAGAAATTTACAAATAATAAAATGGAAATGTGAGGGATCTGCTTTTCTCCATTAATTTTATTTTGTGCTCATTAAAGTGAGGGATGACAAGCCTTATCCACTTTGCGCTCCCCGATCAGATACAGAACTGGGCTAATGGAACGTGGAGCACCTTGTTCACTGACCCCAATACCTTGCCTCAACCTCAGTGACTGAAGACCAGCCCTTGCTGTGTTAAAGTGACATTTGCCATTTCTCATACCAGCGACTCTTGTGACCTGGCTGAGTGAGATTGCTCAATTAGCATTGAATTAATCTGGCTTTATCTTGTGGTCCCACACTGCCTTGACATGAAACGTAGTGTACATGCACTGTTCCTGCACAAACACACGCAACAGTGTGTTTAAAATGTTCTTGTACCTCATGAGTGAATAGGATGTGAGGATTTTCTAAACTATTACTTTCTGATTAAAAGTTGCAAGTGCTTCGATTTCATTCATTCTCACTGTACGGATTTAGCTGTGCTTTATTTTTATTTCAATAGCTGTCACGCTTTGTGCCTCAGGCTGACAGTTATGTTGATAAATCATATAAAGGATGAATGTGCGATAGACTGACTGCAGAACTTAATATTTAATAACATGGCAATATCTGTTGTGAACCTGCAATAGTATAAAGGGATACCGAATGGCTGAGTTCTCACAGAAAACTGTTTTTAAAATACCATTATATAAAAATCAATGGTCTTACAAGCAAAAACATATGCAGTGGTAAACCAGGGACTCTTCAGTTTGAAATTTAACTGTGTGAGATCTCTATTTAATTAAGGACTTCAACATAGAAATATTCCGTAAACAAAAGGCTCTTCTCTATTGAGTGCAAAACCTTAAACCTCATTAGCAAATGAATTCCCACTTACCTGCTTGTGAGCATGGTCATAGGAATTGATGTGGTTGTCAAACTCCTGGTGTTTGTGATACTGCTTGTCACATAATTCACAGTAGAAATTGGCTTTCAGGTCCTCGAGTGCCTTTGCTATGGCTTTCTCCTTTTCAGCATAATCCTGCAGTCACAAAAAAAATGCTAGTTTCTGGTATCTTTTCCAACCAAGTGGTTAGCAGACACAAAATAAAATCCGCACCTCAGCAAAATGTATTTCTGTGGCAAACGTCCCCAGTTGCACTGGGAAAAGTTGACAAAGGGTTTTATTGACGCGTATCATCATTCTACACCTTTGGGAGTCATTCAATGGAGCCCATGGAAAGCTGAGCAGAGGTACCTTCTGAGGAAAGGCAAGATCCTAAAGGATACAGATAAACCAAACCTAATAATACATTTGACACAGTGACAAAATCTAGCTCAAGGGACTTCAGGAGAGTTCAAAAGAGGGAAGTTGAATGGGCTGTTTAGATTTAATTACTTTCTTACACAGAGAATGTTGAATACATGGATTAGAGGAGGCAGTGGAAGCAGATTGTGTCAGCAGGTGCAAGAGAGAATTAGCTAGCTGTTTGGCAAAGAATTCCAAGAGAAGGATATGAGTGATAAAGTATTTTGTGATTATTCCCTAAAATGAAATGGTACCTTCGGAGCAGCAAGATGACCTTATCCTGTCCAGCACCTTGCTATATTCTGATATGCTGTAAATAGGCTCAAATAGGAATGAGAGAATGAAATTTTCCAAATTACAGAAAGATCGGGTCACATGCATTAATCCCCACTGGAATGTATTCAAGAGTGTCCACATACAGAGAATAGGACAGTATCAAGCAGGGAACAATCAAGTGTCGAGATTTCCTGGAGGGAAGGGAAGGATATCATATACAGTATCTAAATCTGATATTTTTAATAGGGGTTAAAATACTTGCTGATGAATATTGCAGTCTATTATCTGCCTCCCCGCCTATCCTCACTAGGCCTTTATAAAGCACCATCAAAATCTTGGGATTAAGTGAATTATCTATGCCTGGGAGCTTTGAATGATGCTATCTAATACAGTTAATAATGCTATTCTTAGGTACAGTTTTTCCTTTATGCACTGTAAATTGCAGCATTTGTTACATTCCCTGTGCAGGGTGAAAAAATAGGTAAGTTTCCTTTTTCAGCACGCCTCTCTTTATCCAGCAGTAAGTAGGAAGCCGGTTGTTAATCAATTGGCAGATTGCTTTTCCGGGGTTAATAATCCCTCCAAAAAATAAATAATAATAATAATAATAAATTGGTCACTCAATCCATGATTGTTGTGGGCCACTGCTGTGCACAATTGGCTGCCACATTTCGCACACAAAAATACAGTCAATTCACTTTACAGTATATTCTGTGAATCCCTTTGAGACGTCTCAAGAACATTATAAGGCACTATATCAAATGCAAGGATTATTATTATTTTAAAATATGGGTAGTTAGTAGCTCTAGTGGTGAACAGCTTGTACCCCAGTCAAAGGGCCACTTATTTGAATCCCAGTCTCAACTGTGTGACAATGGAGTGAAGCCCAAATCGGCTCTGCGTGGGATTTGTGACATTATCTCCCCTCTCTGTCTGCCACTGATTGTTGTCAAAGAGAAATCCACTTCACTCAGCACACCAGATTCCACAATCCCTGCTGGAGGAGGAGGAACACTGATGGGCAGAAGCAGTTAAAAAGAAAAGATATGAGGCACTCTGAATACATGCTAACATGCTGCCATATGGTAACACATCAAATAAATACAGTCCCACAAAAATACACAGTCAATTCACTTTAAAGTATTTTGTGTAAAGCGCTTTGAGATGTCTCAGTGACGTTATAAGTGCTATGACAACTGCAAGGATTATTATTATATAGCACCTTATCACATCATTGTAAAGTGAATTGACTGTATATTTTGTGGGACTGTGTTTATTAGGAAACTGTTGGTCAGGACTGATCTGATCCTTCCAAAATACTCGTACTACTAATATATTCCCAATTCAACACCAAGCTGTGTTTTTTAAATGAGTCCAGTGACCTGGCCTCAAATATATCATTCCAGTTGTTGGCTAACCTCTGTGTAAATCCTAGAATGTTATAGCACAGGAACAGTCATTCAGTTCAGCTCTGTGCTATTTTCTCCAGATAAGACACATAATCCAATCTCACTCTCTTACTTTCTCCTATACCATTTAATATTTCTCTTCTTCAAGCATCTATCTAATCCATTTTACACAAATTTGTAAACTCTCTTTCAGTTACGCTTTGTGACAAGGAATTGCACATTGCACCCTCTCTTCTTACTGTCTCGCCAGCCACTGAAAATAATCTATTTACTGTTTAACCTGTCATAATCTTAAAGCGTCTATCAGATCACCCTTAGCCTTCTCAGCTCACCCAATAGCTGTTTGGGAACTTGCTGTACAATTTAATGACTGTTACATTTTCCTGCAACAACAGTCTCTAAGCTTGACAGTAATTACTGTAAAGCACTTTGAGACCTCTTGACATGATAAGACACTAAAAAATATTAAATTCTTTCTTTGTGTATTGAAAAAATCCTTAATTTCTCTAGTCTTTCTTAGTAAATCAAACTGCTCAGCCCCAGCAATATCCTAGTAAATCCACAACCCATCTTTTATAATGCTTTCCTATTATGGGGCGTCCAAAACTCTCCAATACTCCACCTGTGGCCTAAATAAAGTCTTGTACAACTTCGTGAATTGCTTATTCAACTATGACAGAAAAAAATAATTCCTAGTACCCTTGCCCTTCACAATTTCGAATCAGTGAGGTTTCTTTTTGAGGCATAAAAACCCTCTTATCTGGTCATATAAGATAACCAGATCTGCCCAGCTCCGCCACTGTTTCATACCACAGGCTGCCGAAACCCTCATACACCCACTCATAACATCCAGGCTTGACTATGCAAACTCCCTGCTTGTCGGCCTTCCCAACTCCTCCCTCCATAGGCTGCAGATCATCCAGAACTCTGCAGCCTGTGTCCTCTCCTGCACCAGGCTCCGTGACCCTATCATTTCCATTGTCGTTGACTCCATTGGTTTCCCATCACTCAGAGGATACAGTTCAAGATCCTGGTTCTCACCTACAAACCCCTCCATGGCCTTGCTTCCCCCTACCTCTGTGACCTCCTAACCCTCTACCATCCTGCCCACTCCCTCCGCTTAGCGGGCTCTGGCCTGCTTCACTTCCCCCGCCTCACCCGCCCAACCATTGGTGAGCGGGCCTTCTGCCACTCTGGCCCTACCCTCTGGAATTCCATTCCGCAGTCTCTCTGCATTGCCCCCTCCCTTGTCTCCTTCAAGACCCATCTCAAGACCTTTCTCTTTGACTGTGCATTTGATCACTCTGCATCCCCCCCTGCCCTCACCCTCCCCAATCCCAGCCCCCCGTTCGGGTCCGAAACACTGACTGTGCAGTGCCTTGGGACGTCCTCCAGATGTGAAAAGCGCTATACAAATGTAATTTGTTGTTGTTGTTGTCAATCCTCATCCCTTTAACACTGGGATGAATGAGTCTTATTGTTCTCTTCTTTACTGCCTGTAGGTCCATTTCTGATTTTCTACTCATAATGAGGAAAATAATTTTTCATTCACATAACTTGTCCAAATTCAACAATTTATTCTATCCTATAATGATCTGAATTACACTGCTTCTATGATGTTGGAGGATATGGCTGCATTCTCATGAAAAAGGGGTGAGGAGTTTATAAACCTCACATAAGTCATATCATTTGGGAGCTTTTCATATATTTAATATGACTTATGCAATGTTTGAATTAAACTTGCATAGGGGTATCATACATGATTTATGTAAAGTTATGTATAAGTCAGATTTTATATGACTAACACATAACAAATGATGACATTAAGGCAAGGTTTCTGGACCATATTTAATGCATATTTTGCATATTAAAGCTAAGGTAGCCCATTCTTTCCATACACAGTACCACAAGGTAATCATTCAAAGTCTGTGGCTTCAAATCAAATTTGGAGGCAATGTGCCTCTTTTCCATTTCAGGATTTGCCTGGCAAAATTGGAGTCTGGTACTTCTTCTGACAGATCGTTGTCATTAATTTGTATTTAATTGGGCTATAGTGGCAGTAAACTGTTGTTTTTCTGACTGGAGGGAAGTGTGCAGTGATGTACCCCAGGGATCGGTATTGGGACTACAGCTCTTTTTGATCTATATAAATGACCTGGACTTGGGTATAAGGAGTGCAATTTCCAAGTTTGATGATGATACTAAGGTAGCATGAGTAGTAAACGATAAGGAGAATAGTAGCAGACTGTAGGAGGACAAAGACAGGCTGGTAAAATGGACAGACATGTGGCAGCTGAAGTTTAATGTGGAGAAATGCAAAGTGATGCGTTTTGGGAGGAAGAATGAGGAGAGTCAACATAAGGTGATGGTACAATCTTAAACGGGTTGAAGGAACAGAGAGACCTGGGGGGTCATATAAGGTGGCAGGACAGATAGGTAAAGCTTTTAAAAAGCATACTGGTTACTTGTCTTTATAAATAGGGCATAGAACACAAAAGTCAGGAAGTTATGATGAACCTTTATAAAACATTGGTTAGGCCTCAGCTAGAGTACTGTGTTCAGTTCTGGGCCCCACACTTTAGGAAGAATGTCAAGGCAGTGGAGAGGGTGCAAAGGAGATTTACCAGGATGGTACCAGGAATGAGGGACTTCAGTTATCAGGAGAGGCTGCAGAAGCTAGGATTATTCTCCTTGGAGCAGAGAAGGTTAAGAGGAGACTTAATAGAAGTCTTCAAGATTATGAGGGGATTCGATAGAGTGAACAAGGAGAAACTATTTCCACTGGTGGGTGGGTCGGTAATCTGAGGACACCGATTTAAAATAGCTGTTAAAAGAAACGGAGGTGAGGAAAAATTTTTTTACACAGCGAGTTGTTCGGATCTGGAATGCATTGCCTGAAAGGGAGGTAGAAGCCGATTTGGTAACAGCTTTTAAGAGAGAAGTAGATAAGTATTTGGGGAGGACAAGTTTGCAGGGCTATGGGGAGAGAGCGGGGGAGTGGGATTGATTTGGATAACTCTTTTCAAAGAGCTGGCACAGACACGATGG